CTACCTTGACAGACTTGGTTACATTCAAGATAAAAAAATGGTCCCAATAATTTATCATATCGCTAGACGTAAGAATCAAAAGACTATTAATTACCCTCCGAATATAAATAGTAGTAATACAGATATATATTTAAAGTATATTTTAGACTTACCTGATAAGGATATAAATGACGAATACCTCACAAAAGAGCAAGAAAAATACTGGTGACGCTATGATGATAACGATCAGTCGATACTGTGATATTAGTAATTAAGCATAACGTTCAGTTGATACTGTGATATTAGTAATTAAGCATAACGATCAGTCGATACTGTGATATTAGTAATTAAGCATAACGATCAGACGATACTGTGATATTAGTAATTAAGCATAACGATCAGACGATACTGTGATATTAGTAATTAAGCATAACGATCAGACGATACTGTGATATTAGTAATTAAGCATAACGATCAGACGATACTGTGATATTAGTAATTAAGCATAACGATCAGACGATACTGTGATATTAGTAATTAAGCATAACGATCAGACGATACTGTGATATTAGTAATTAAGCATATCACTGTGATAGCGTACAGCGCTTAACCAGCGCATCGACAGTAGTATTTAAGATAGGCTCAAGAACGCAGTGATATTAATAATTAAGTCATAGAATAGCGCATTTGAATCAAAAACTTCAGTATTAAAATACAGATATTTTTCTTTTTAGTTAACATTTTATTTTATTTTATTTTATTTATTTCTTTTGTTTAGTTTGTATTATTTCATAGTTTATTTTTATTTATTTATTTATTTTGTATATATCTGTTTTAGAAAACATTATTAGGAAAGCTAGTATCTTTTCTGACCCTTTTTTGCTAGCGATAAGAATAGAAAAATGGTACATACTTTACGTTTTCAAGCCTTACGGTCCTACAATTCTTTAAAATATATTGTGTGACTTGCGAGTGCCAAACTGGCCGTCGAGTTAATCCTAGTATAAAGCCGATTACTGGTTTATTGTAATACAAAAATCCGATTGTTTGTAATGGTTCTTAATAAACGAATTAAAAAAAAACGTTGTCATACACCAGTTCTCGTCTCTTTGATATGTAGGTTTTTTTTTTTTGTTATTTATATTTTTCCTACGATATGTAACACGGAGTAAGATAGTAAGCAAGAACAAGACAAAATAATACCGGAACTGTTAAAAATTTATAGTTACTATAGATTATATGTACTTGATGAGATAGGTTAAGCCTAAATTAGGCAGGAACTATAGAGTTAAGCAAATATGTGATAATTGCTAATCACATTGTAAAGTATGAAATAAATATATATATATCGTTAAAAAAAAAAAAAGTTCTCGTCCGATCACTGAAGTTAAGCAACGTTGGGCATGGTTAGTACTTATTGTTAGATGGGTGACCGCTTGGGAACACCATGTACCGTTGGCATTATTTCCTTTTTTGCTAATTTTAATCTTATATTATCGATATTTCTTTTAAAATATATGCTTAAACTATTGTGATGCTAAAAATCTATTTTTTTTAGTTATCTCGAAATTCACAATTCAAGCGACGCGATAGCGATGCGACGCCAAGTACATAAAAATACATTTCTAGCTTGACAACAATTTTGCCTATGTACAGGGACCGCGGTCTTACCAAGTAGCATATCCGGAATTTTAAGTCAAACTTTCGATTAAGATATTTCAGGTACTAAAGCCGTAATCAAAAATCTAACGGCATTTTTTTAATAAAGTGTGGATTCAAACTTTCGATTGCGACGAATGTTTACGATACGATATTCAGATCGAGAAAAATTTAAATGCGCACTCGTGAAGATCGGCTCGCAAGATTCGGTGGCTGGAGATTCAAAGATCAGTTTAATAATAGACATAAATCTCATGTTAAATCTCATCTATTCATTCTTTTTCTGTTGCATGTTGAATTATTTCGAATTAATGCTATTCATAATCTCGAGTGTCCGATTTGATTGCGAAATAATTGTCCTCATGACTATAGCCCAGAGAGATTTCTAATTTCTTTTCGTTTGAATAGATATCCATAGACTATGAAATAGTCGGATAAGAGGCACAGCTCACGTAAAACAAAATGTACCGATAAAAAATATAGGCAGATACGATGTCACACAATTAGGTATCAAAGAAAGAATTTTTGAAATTTTGAAAATTTTTCTAGCTGATCGTGTGACGTTGTGTTTACGTGTGATTCTTGCTGGAAAGTATAATAGCCATAAAAATATAAGGAAAAGGTAAAAGAAGGATTGTTAATGAAGCTTTATATAAACCTCATTATACAAATTCATACGCATACATATGTATTCTTTTATTATAAAATGCGCCTACTTTATATATCAAATTAATATACCCGCGTTTTAATATTGGAAAGAAAGTTGCAATTTAAGTATGCTTATTTAATATTTGATATTATAATAATATATGTACACATATTTATGTACATATGTCGTAGTAAAATTACATTATTACATAATCTGTCGTTTTATAAAACGTTTAGCCATTTTATAAAATGCGACCACATTCTCAAATCATAGTTGAAAATGAAATGTTTTACAATCTGACTAAAAATTTTAGTCTTTTAATAAAACGCCAACAAGAGATCCGACATACATTCTTCTGTTCGTTTAAATTGTGCAGAACTAAGATAAAATAGTTTATACTCATATATTGGAGCAACTTTTGGTAATGTTTCCTCTAAATAGTGGATTATGATTTCAGGCTTCTTAGAATAAGTCAAGCATTCCAAAATGGTATGATCAAAATTTTTCTCCTTATAGAGTTTATTAAAGAATTTATCAAAAAGTTTATTCCATGTATCAAAATCTGTTATTTTCAAACCGTTACAATATGTCTATTTCTTACATCCAGTCAAAAATCTACAAAAGGCAATCCAGAAAGAAAGTTGAACTCTTTTAACAAAATTGAGTGAATAGTGTTTTCAATGTTTGATAAATAATTTTTGATAAATATGATAAATGATTTATTAAACATATGCACAATATAAAAAATATGTCTAAGAAAACAACGATTATAAAAAGTTACTTATTCTGTTTAGGATTTCTCAAATGCAATTACAAATTGATAATTGACAATTATTTTGCATGGGTTACTATCGATAATACAGTAAAAAAGTACCCGGTTTTACCCTACTTTCCCCTATATAATTTTTTTAATTTTTAAAAGATAATTTATAACATATTTTAAATATATAAATATAATATAAATATATATATAATGCTATTTATAATGTTTTAAAATTTTATTATATAATTATATAATTAAATAATTCTTATATTTAACTTCTTCTCTATATCATCCTTTTATTTAAAGAATAAATTATAAAGATTTGTATATCTCCAAATTAGTGAATTCAAAACTTGCTCACAATCTTATCAATTTATATTGGTTTGTTGCCATTGTCTCGTGACCGCTAATATTATATTCTGTTTGTCCTGTTTCCGTTTCTGTTACAGTTAAGAAAACAGTTCTCGCCGAAACATTCTGTGCGACTATTCATATTGGCGATCTATAAAAGAAGAAACGTGTCTTTGACAGTAATAATAATTAATAACCCAAATAATTATACGCCATAAATTTTACGACGTAAGTTTGAAATATATTATATGTATGTATTTAGAAATAAGTTATATGCGTTTATGCACATTAGCATGCACATTCGATATATGATTATAGAATATTTCTTATATATTATTAATCATTTAACGATTTTATCTTAACACATATACAATATGTATACAAAATAATGCAATGAATCGATTAATCTAGTAATATATTTATTTTTTAAAACAAAAAAATTTCCTTAAAATAAAAAAAAATTATTTAGCTATTCTAATAAACAAATTTTTTATTATCAGATTTACTTGTTAAAATAATATATAATTTTGTTCTTAAAATTATGTTAATATTATATTATAACATAATATTAACATAATATTTCTTCATCTTTAAAAATTAGAAATATGTACTCTGTTAGATGTTTTATTTTGTATATAATTTGCTAACAATTTTTACGTTTCATAGTTATATGTACAACAACATCGCATTTATTTCAAATCGAGCATCATGGGACCCATTCCGCCCCTCGTACTCAGAGAAAATGATCTTCCTCGATATGAAGATGATATTATTGCAAACGATGATGCCCTTAGAGAAAATATTAATTTCGAAGATATAGATGATATTATAGTGAACGCTCATGTCTTTAGAGGAAATATTAATCGCGAAGATGAAGATGATATGATATTAAACGATGATGCCTTTAGTGAAAATATTAATCTCGAAGATAATGATGATATTATACCGAACGATGATGTCTTTAGAGGAAATAATCATTTCCAAGATGAAGATGATATTATACCGAACGATGATATCTTTAGAGGATATAATAATTTCCAAAATGAAGTTGATATTTTACCGGACGCTGATGAGAACTCTGCAAGAAATAATGAAAATGAAAATAATAGACCACCATTATACATGTTATTATTTACACCTACCCTCGAATATATAAGAAATGGTACGTATATAAAGTTCATTACTTGATTTAGATATGTAATACTCAGGGTTGGGAATGTTACTCTATAAAAGTAACGCGTTACCGTTACCGTTATTTATTGTAAAAAGTAACTCGTTATCGTTACTCGTTACTGATTTTTAAAAGTAACGCGTTACCGTTACCGTTACTTGGAAAGTAACGATTCGTTACTTTTTCGTTATGTTTTTGTTTTTTCTAATGCTAAAATAAGCTATTAGATTATAAAATTATTTAATAATCAATATTAAATGTAATAATCTATGTTACAATTAAAAACTCTAAATTAGTCTCTATATAGCAAGCGTTTTTTATATTAAACTTATTTAACGATTCTAATTTTTTATGTTAATATCTTTACTTTTTAATACACTTATCTTTATAGAAATTTAAATTGTAATTTACAAATTTCAATTTTGTCGAAAATTTTTATCAAACATTGTTTTTAAATATTGATAAGAGAAATATTGATATTATTAAGAGTGTATTCCAATATTCACTGCCAGTATTGTAAAATCTATAATTTACGTTACTATAGATTTTCAGTACTGGCAGTGACTATCAGAATGCAGCCTATGATAGAAGGCTACAAAATATTTTTCAAAAAATACATCTATCTATTGAATAGATATGAGATAATAAAGAACCAAAAAATAACGATAAAAGTAACGGCTAATTCGTTACCGTTACTGTAAAAATGTAATGACGTTACCGTTATCGTTACAAACAGAAAAAAGTAACGATAGTTACCGAAAAAAAGTAACTGTAACGGTAACGACGTTACAAGTAATGCGTTACTTTCCAACCCTGGTAATACTTTATGAATCTGTTATTACATAACGATATAGTTCTGTACGTCGTATTGCACCAATTTTTCGATGAATTTGAGATTACGGTAGTTAGCTGCCCCTGTCTAACTGGACCGCCATATAATCTTGCTGCAGTTGGTAAGAAACATAACAACAAGTATTTTTGATCTTTTGCGTTCGAAATGCAATACATTTACATAATGTGTTTTACATTTTAACAGGACTATCTGGCAACACGGGGATTTTGCAAATGGGTGATGTACATAATATTGCCCCAATCTCGCAGACAGATCTGATATTCGACATCCGACCTATATTATCAAGCTATTGCTATGATTTCTTTGTTATTGGATCAGGTTTTGCCGCAAAACCATCTATGCCTTACAATGGTCATGTATGTATTATTGATATTTTTACATATAAAGAAACATATTGACTTCATGAAAAGAAATTGAATATGCAAACAAATTATTGCTTTATTCTTACTATTTTTACTACTACATTTCTTTTATTTTAATTATACATCAATTTACCACTAATTTAAGTAACGCTTCTACTTATTTTAATTTCACATTTGTCTCTTTTTCTCTCTCTATTTATCAGAACGCATTTCTTTTACAGCTTACTATAAACGCGATAATCTCAGCAAATCCCACAAATATTCTTAATAATAGTCGTATCGTTTATGAGGATGCTAATACTGAGCGGATAAGATCGCAAACTGTCAACGATCCCAATCAAATAAAATGCTCTATGTTTGGCAACTTCTTTTTTAGTGAAGGTAGACGAGGAATGATGATTAAAATTCGCGCTAAAGGACGCAAAACCATTTATAACCTTACATCGTTAATACAGTACTCTCTATATTTTCATTGTCGATATCCAATCGGTAAGAAATTATTTATATGAGAGTATAATTTAATTTTGCGAAATAAATAAAGAATAAAAATAATGAAATTGATTGATAAAAATAATGTGTCTATAAATAAATGAATTATTCATATCCAACATTTTAGGTTTAGGTGTCGTGCTCGAAATAGATGGGGGAAAAATGTTATTATATATCACACCAGAAAATTATCCAGAATGGTTTACCCCAAACATGGATTTTGACAGATGGTTAAAGTTATATCAATTCGACTGCATAAATCTAATAGCTATAGGCGCATTAACCAACCTTCTAATGACACAGAGATCTCACGGATGTGTAAGTTATTTGTTAAGTGCACAAGCAGGCATTACTTTTTAAATCATTGTTTTTAAATTCTTTATTTTTAAATAGATCGTTATTAAATGAAGAATTTTATTGTCTTTTTTTTTGTTTTTTTTTGTTTTTTTTGTAATAAATTTGCATTTGTACGCATTGTTACATTGTTACATATATGTTATGTGAATTAATATATTATAATATATTGCAAAATTTCATGCTTGTTAGCTCGATCATTGTAATATTATTGGTAACATTAATACTTCAAATTCAACGCCGATACATCACGAAACATTCATATATCATAAGGTTTATATTTTGCAGCAGACGCTAGCGAATCCTTACAGGTTTAACATTTTCCCCAATTATGAAACGGGCGGAGAATTTTGTTTCGATATGACACCGGATGAAACAGAGTACATTGGTTATTTCAATATAGCGCAAAGAATATATTTTTAAATATGACAAATATTTTTATTCTTGATATAAAATCATGTGTCGCGAGAAATTCAGGTGAGATGTTTCTATAAAGTGACAAAGATATTCTTGACAAGGATATCTCACATAAATCTTTAGGAGAAGAAGAAAGGGGGATTATCTCCGCACAAAGATTATTTTTTTTTATTTTCGGACGCAACAAATCGCAATGTTGTTATTAATATTTTAATTTACTGACTGAAATAACGTAGTTCAAATGGTCTACGTTTCTGTTTTAATTCATGACAAAGAAAAATATCAAAAAGACGTTTTAGAGTTTGATGATATTTTCCTATATTTTTCCTCTTACTTTCTCTACAGATGAAATAATTTTGTGTGTGTGTGTGTGTGTGTATGTTCGACTTCTTTTACAAACAATTGGTATAAAGATACATGCACACAAAATACATATTTGTAGATAATTACGACTATCTGAATTAGATGGCGTAAACAAACATAGAACTGTATCTACTGCAAAACATTAAATTTTAATTTCGTGAAACTATTGTAATTTGTCGATATTATTTTAGTATCATATGTCCAATTAAAAAAAAATTCACACATACACACACCAATTTTTTCAATTTTCTAAATTTATCACATTTTTATCACATTAAACACAATTTACAAATTACCAATTTGTAAATTTAAAATGTATTTACAATCTAACAAAATTATTAAGCCATTATTATTCATAATCAATACAGTCTTGTACTTGCTTATGTTGTCGTTTTTCTAAATTTTATTTCGGAAGAAACCATTTTTAATCTTCCAAAATATGTTATGCAATTAGTAATGTCCGCATATATGAATTATAAAAGTAGAATATTATCTTTGATAAATATATTAATCGAAATATGATTACTATATAATGTATCATAACTTGCAATATTTTTAGAATAAAATTATGTTATATACAATTTATACAAAAAATTTGTAAAATATATACTTATATATACATA